TTGGGGGGGGGGGGGACCACTGCTTCGTTTACAGGATTGACATTTCCGTTCAAATTTCGCTCGGACAAATTATTAGTAGAGAAATATAAAAATAAAAACAAACAAAAAAAAGATAAAAAAAAAAAGACGAGAAAGTGAAATAATTGAATTCTTTAATAGGATTTGGTATTTGCACAATTTAACGAATTGATAAACGTCACAAGTTCACGTGAACTATTTGATATAATTCTCGACAATGACGATAATACACCGAATAATTATCTTATAATTTTCACCACTCGTGTCGTGTCTTTCATTCTGTAAGCTAATCTGAATACGCATAATAATTTCCTTCGATTAAAAAAGAATAAATTGTTAATAATTTACTTGATCAATGTTATCAAGCGTAAAAGATTAACGTTAAAATTAATTGTAAAAGTCTATTGCATTTTAATGCTTAGCTTAAAATCTTTTATCCTTTGTTAAAATCAATATTAGGCGTATTTGTTAAAGATCGATAAAGATAGATCGTATTTTTATTCATTTTCATTCTGGTACGATTATGGATAAAATCGATAATCAATAGATATATAAATATACCACTTTTACATATTTTAACAATAATAATTGCGCCTAAAAATAAATATTAATATAATGTAATAACGTAATAACGATTAATAGAATCATTTGTCGCATATTTGTCTTGAAAATGGCGATGTCGATTTATTTGCATCAACGAATGACGACGAATCGACAATCTTATCTCTAAGCTCGCAATTGTCACATCAACAACCATAGCTATTTGGAAAGTTTTTTAACAATGTTAAAATTCGCGCTTAAACAATATAATCGAACGTTTAATAATCTCAGACGATGCCATTGTTGTAATTAACTGAGCAAGTGAATAACCGCAGTGAATGACAGCTATGGAAAGGAAAGGAAATTTAGATCGAACGATACTTTCTCGCTACGACGTTTATCCGATCAAGACCAATTTATCGTTAATGATTTAAAGCGATAAAATATAAGGAGGGGAAACTTGTCAGCGCGCGGGTGACGAAGGAGAAAAATTTGAAATGCTTTTCTTTTAATGCATAATACCGATTCTCGTACGTAATGCCAAGCAAGTTGTACACCTTTAAAATTTATATAATAGCCAAGAAGTGTAAGTTTGAGTAATACTACTCAATCTGTAACGCTTAGCTTTCACATTCTATTTCCATTCGTAAATTATGAAAATACCTTTATGATCTTTCGTCTCATATAAAAATTTTCATAAATTAGAAATAGGAGCGCCCGGATGGTTGCATACGCAACGCCGCTCAAAGTCCGTGGCAAAGACGAGAAAACGCCAATGCAGAAAAACCATAAAGGCGACGGCGAGTCGACGAGCAAAAAGTCCAGCGAAGACTCGTTCCGCACGCGTCGTGCCGCATCTCGCGGGAGACAAATCAAATCCGGAGCGCAGAGCGAGTGAACGCGAGGAACGCCTGGGCCGGCGGACGGGGGACGGGGAGGGAAAATTTGTGCCGATGGGAGATTCTCACGGATTCCCGTGGCAATGCGTATCCCAATGAGAGTCGACCACTGCCGTCGACCCTACTCCCCCACCCCCTACGTCCTCGCACACATACCATACCGCACTCGCCCTCTTCCGCCAGCTCTCCCTCCATCTCCCGCCAGCCGCTTCCTGTCTATTTATGCAGCCATTTCTTATCTCTTTCCGCCGTGGAGTCTCTTTCTTCTTGTTGTCGGTGCGTGGACGCTGCCGCCGCGGCTCCTCAACAAATCGCTAATCCCCTTTCGCACACTGCTCCTTCTCCACCATCTCCCTCCCCTCCTCCTCAACCTCATCCTCATCATCATCCTCATCCTCATCCACATTCTCCTATCGCTCCATTTACGATTGCGGGATAAGTTTCGCGCGGCTCGTCTCGTCCAACGAGATTATTTCAGGTGATTTGTATGTGCCGAGCTCCGAGGCGCATAATACGTAACGCGCGGGAAAGAAATTCTTCCCAGTGGCTCTCGGTAGCCGCCAACAGCCGATGCCAAATTCGCGCGAACCATCTTACCTACAAACACGAGGAGGTTCGGCTTTGCGTAGCAAATTGGCATTCGCGGGCATTCGTAAGCGAGGGATATTCAACAAGCCGCTCGAAATATTTCACGAACGTTCGAGTAATGCCGTTATGGCCGTTATTATGCGCAAACGTAATTCGAAAAGTTCGCATGCCAATATGCCCGAGCATTTATGCTACTTTGAAAGTGCTTCGTCGTACGACTACAATAACTCGAGGACTCCTAGTTATCGATGCGCCTCGATAAATTTGCATATCTTGCCGAGAGGTTCGATTTGCAATACGAACGAGGGCGGCCCATTAAAAGCTGTGCTTTACATCGATAACGAGAGCCTCGCACGCGCCTTAATCTTTCAATTATCTTTTATGAATTTTTATAAATATTTGGCTCGAATTTTATGTGCTCAAGGACTAATTGCGGGACGCTTACTCGAATGAAAATGTCTGCTATCGCGGGACAAATGAACTTTTTCGACGAGCCAAATATATGATTTATTTTCTGTTTAATAGCATTAAATCCTAATAAAATTGTCCGGATTATGGCGGGACAACTGAAATCATCATTAGCCTATTCGCGGAAACTTAATTTGACACTATTGTGCAAATTACTTTTTCTTTCTGTAATTATGAAATCGAGACATTTAGCCGGCACATAAGTAACTCGTTTAGATGTAATCGATTAGGGATTTGTCGTAAAATCATAAGCTATAATATACGCTTTATCAATATGTAGCTTTAAACTTAGGCGCTTAACTAGCGTTTTTAGATTAAAAACTTGGTTATTAGATCACTTCTTATGTACTACGGACGTTTGAACCATTTACAACGAAAAAAGCAGACTTTCTATTCTTTTACCTATTTCGTCGCTACTCAACCGTACCGAGCATATCCCTAGCCATTTTCGGTACCAATATATTTTTCATTATATAAAATATTAATATCGAACGACTCTTGGAACAAATGCTATTTTACAATGAATAAGAAATAATGAATATATACGCTTTACGACGTGAATTTCGTAATTAAAATTATCATTTGAATGAACGGTAATCGTGAAATTCCAGACATTTTTAGGAATTTATTATTCAGTGCTGTCGTTAATAATGGAATATTTACTATTATACTGCGCATTAACTTTTACCGTAAATATATGATCAATTTCGTTTTAACACAATAATTGCTCAAAAAATACCACACACATATATATGCATCGATAAGTCGTAATTTTTTACTATAATATTCTTGTACATTTTTATCTTAAAGCTAGTGTGGTTTCGTAAAAAATTACCGCAACAGCAGGTAGAACAATTTTTTATTTGTCGTTTCTGGTATGGAGGTCAATAAGAGTACTTGTAATGTAAAACCATTTACCATTATCAATAAATGATTGATTCCTTTTTTCTCTTTTTTTTTTTTGCAAATTAACATTGTTATTTATCTTTGCAATCAAGCTCATACCCGTTCATTGTTGCAGGGGTAAATTGTAAGAAAAAAGTTTGTCTGGAAGGATCCAATAGTTATGCGAACAAAAATAAATTATCGATCGTTCAGTTGCACAGACTAAGGAATCGATAAATTTATGACGAGATAAATAGAGAAATACCGTTCAATCAACGTTAAATTTTTTGAAACTTAAATAAGAAAAGATTAATATATCAGAGATACATTTAATTTTGACATTAAAAGCTATTTTGAAATTTTAAGAAAATCATTAACCTCTCGAATAATCTTAGTATATATAAATATTTTATGAATTTAAATAAAATATGCTCATAAAAATAGTGTATAATTATATAAAACTATATTAAAAAAAAAAAAAACGTAAGCCGTACAATTTTCCTTAATAAAATAGTACTTAAAAAATATATTTACAAAATAAAATATCTATAAATATTTGAAGGCGAATTTTCATTTTCTCTTTTACAATAATTAAAATCTCAACGTTTTGTGTGTGTGTGTGTGTGTTTAAATATTGTATATTCATCATGCAAGTTATAAATAGTAAACTTTTTTTCATTTAACGTATAAGATTAAAAGCTTGTACTGGCTACACTCATATCCATTATCTTATCTATAAACTTATATAAAATGGTATTTATTAATCGAAAGAAAGAAAAGGCATGAACTATTTTGTTTAATAAAGAACGAATTGTCTCACGCAAATAGTATAGAATTTAATGCTTCGCTAATAGTATCTCTGAAAACGTCGTGACGTCAGGCATTTACTATTTATTAGTAGCTTTGTCGCTAATTTTTATACGAATATTTTTCGAGTGTGTATGTCACGATAATGCCGATAGCATTTTAATCTTCAAAAACAAAATATATATTCACGAGATACGGATAAGCAGTCGAGTCTCGGCATAATTATGTGGTACGCGCATGCATGCATGTGCCCGCAAACGAACTCCACTCTATACTTGTAAAATCAATTAAATCTTGTAGATAAAGCGGTGGGTTCGGAAAGCCTTTGACAAAGAAAAAAAAAATCAAATTTCACAAAATTCGTTGTGGCTGGAGAAAGGAAAAATATATTCCGTTAAGCCGATGCTCGCAATCTATTGTGAACTCGATATCAGATCCCTTCCTTTATTCTCCATTTCTACATTGATATCCTATCTTTGATGTTTCATCGATACGCGTATAGACAACAACGGTGAACACTTATTTGCCTATCGTACTAAAAGCTTGTATTTCATTGCTTCCCGCTCCCATAATAAACCATGTCCTGGCAGCGGGGCTGGAACGCAAAACTTTTGCGTAATTTTATTATGCGCGCGCGCGCGCATAAAAGCCGGCTGAGCGATAGGTAATTTTTTTTTCTTTCTTTTTTTGTTTGTATTTTATGCATTCGCCCGAGGCAGAGTAAAGGGACCGTAGATAAAAATTAAATGCACCAAGCCAAAGTGCGGGGAAGAAGTTTAAAAAAAAAAAAAAAAATCGACAACAAAAACATAAATGAGCAGAGCGGCACGACGATCTAGCAAAGCTCTATTCCCCCTTCCCCGTGCCAACGGTGCCAGACCGCCACTCATAATTCATTTGACGATGGCACAAGGAACTTTTATAATAAAAGTCAGAAGAGATCGGGAAAATCGGCCTCTCGCACAAACTCTAACAACGCGGCAATGATATAATAATAAAATAACGGACATTAAAAGCCGTAGGCACTTACATTCTTTCAGGACTCATTGACTCTGCTCCTCCGAGTTCTTTGCCTTGGCTCGCCCAACAACCATTTCCTTACCTATGAAATAGACATTCGCTCGCGCGGATAAGCGAGATTCTTTGCTCTTTTTTTTTTCTTCATTCTTTCATTTTTCTTTCTATTGTTTTTTCTTTTGCTTTTGCTTTTGCTTTTGCATTTGCCATACTACGATGTGGGTGGTCGGACCGTGCCTCGAATTATGTAGTTACCAACAAACGCGATTTAATTATGGAAAATTTTGTAAAGCACCCGCAACGCTTCTCTAGGAATCGATCAGGGATTTTAATTAGACGAATGGGCCTGCGGATCTTTTACGCTTTAAGCAACATGTAAAATGAGATTCAATCGACTCTTCGGAGAGAGAAATCGTGAGGAAAAATACATCTTGAAACTCTTGGTCAAACGAGTTTTCATTCGATCGTGTCCTGCGGTACGTACGTACCGCACATTCCAATGGGACACACGATTTCTCTTCATCTGCCTTTAATCAGTTACAAACATACTTAATACACTTAGCGCATGAATGTTTTTATTACAAGGATCGGGATTGCGAGCGGATCGGCAAATGTTTCGTCCGCGCTTTATCACCACCATCGTCGTCGTCGTCGTCGTCGTCGTCGTCGTCGTCGTCTTCGTCATCATTCGGCTCTTAAGGTTATGATTGGTTGTTTTTATATGCCTCGATTGATCGAACGAGCTTAACAGCCATAATAGTATATAGTATATAGTATTTACGTCCCGACAAAAATATTCCTCGTTTCGTCATTGTATGCAAGCGTGTAATGATATGACGGCTAAATTGTATGAAATGTAACGATTGCGACTTCCTTCTCTCTTTTATAACTGCATTTTGAATGGCGCTCGATTGTCACGCTTAATTGCATATAATTCTCAATTTAATTCTAATTCAAGAGTCGGTGTGTCGTATTTTGTTGCTCGTTCAAAAGCTCAAGCAGCCACGACGGGTTAATATTTTTGTTTGTGAAACAGCCATTACGAAATCGGTTGCCATGGAATCGGAATATATCATTTCCATACTACCACCTCCGGCGCGTGAAAGGCAATTTTACTTGGCGATAGGTTAAAAAAGAAAAGAAGTTCCGATTGGAACTAAGAATGAGGAAAATATTATGGGGATAATATTTCATATTGAAAGTATGCGCAAAGGAATGGCTGAAGTTCGGTGTAAAGTAACGTGCTACTTTCCGTAGTGTCAACAAATTGTAAACCGTGTCGTGGAACGCACACAACTTATCCGTTTCATTGGCGCGAATCTTCGCTTATAATATTAATTTAGGACAATTTCCTTTTCCCGTGCTACGCAAACGGAACGCCAAGCTAATTCATCTACTATTGCATCGGCAAATATCGTTATTTGCAATATTTATAATCTCGCGACGTTTAATAAATCAATGACGATGAAAAAAAGGGGTGGGCGACTAGTGGCGGGGGGAGGGGGAGG